TTGCATCCTTGCGTCTACTTATTCTTTTTAAGTGCTTCAATAAATGCGTGCCATTTGAACTCGCGTAAATTAATTAATTTAATCGCGAGACTGAGTTATTCCTTTTCCTCCTCTAAGCGAAGCAGATCCTGCTCCTGTCCCTATTTTCCTGGCTCAACCGTAAACGTAAGAAGGTGGAAGAGGTGTTTGAATACGACGCACCTGAACTTGTCTGTGAACAAAATTCGCGTACTGGATGCAAAGGTTGGCCAGCTCTGGTTTAGAGTAACCAGTGTCATCGAAAGATCAATTCCGTTTACTCGGTAAGAAGAAAAACGAACGAAACAAACAGTAAAGAAATAACCCTCGGGCCGTTCGAGAAACGGAACCCACGTCTGAGAATCTCGCGTAACCGATTCCGACTCGGCTCACGGTTTATCGAGGCGAACGCTTCCGTTAGCATATCGAGAGCTCCGATGGGAATATCCGCGCCGCGGGAAGACGATTCCCAACTAAATGCAGGCGGCACGCTCCGCTAGAGCCGCTCGCGTTGTCCGCGCTCTCGGAAGAGATTATGTGTACCGTATTCAATCACCGGAGACGGGTAATAGCGGAATTATCCGAGGCGAGGTGATGAAAGTCAGCCGGGGTACCGTTTTTCGAGGGGCGCAGCGAAAAATCATCTGATAGTTATTACGGATCCCCGACCGCGGCTTTCATCTCGTACGTCTACCCCACTGTTTCGTCTTACCAACATCGATACCGCGATGGAACGCCATTTTGGAACTACTGGCGAACTAATAGTATAGCGTAATATTTCTTCTTCCTCTTACTATTGGAAATTGTAGTATATATCGCGGAGCAATCGGTGATAAATCTTTTATTATCATTGCTACGTACTACTATTAGTATTATTACTGCTATTATTAGACTGCGGATCTTTATGCAAATTCAAGTTTTCAAGAACGTTTAGAAAAGAAGTACAATGGAAAATGGTTTCCCCTAACAAATGTCACGAAAAGTAAACTTCAGATATTTTGTATATTTCTCGTATCATGTGCATTCTTTGCAATCTTGCAATTCCAAATTAGTAATTAGAGAAGGAGAATTACAATGGAAAATGGTTTTTCCTAACAAATGTCACGAAAAGTAAACTTCAGATATTTTATATATTTCTCGTATCATGTGCATTCTATGCAATCTTGCACTTCCAAATTTCCCACGAATGCATAAAAATCCGCAGTCTAATTACTAATGTCGCCGCTAACGTCACTATCGCTATCATCATCGCTACGGTTACCACTAGCACACCTATCCTCATTACACACTACCATTTCACGAGGACCGTTAATATCTTCAATGTCGCGCACAAAGTCACAAGTAAGTTTCGCCCGCAAGAGCGCCGCTGCACCGCACAAAAAGAAATTCATCGTCCGTTTAACATCCCCTCGAAAACCGAGCGGCACACACGGTCCGTTTGCCTTCCATAGGTGTTTTTTTCACAACTCGCGCGACCATAATTGAGTTAGCTCGGGCAGCGCTAAACGTCCGCCGCAGGAGGCGCAGGGGAAAAACCCGGGGCAAGAAACACGACGACGACGTCGACGGACCACGACGGACAATAAGAGGGAAAAAAGGGGCGGAGGGTGGAAGGAAAGCCACCGGTGGAGAGGAAACAACTGGAGAAAGATCCTTCACGGAAAGGAAGCGATTTAAGGGCCTCTGTTTATGCCCCCGGTGGGCCGTCGAGAGGGGCCCGCGCCCTTCGAACGGACCCCAGCCACGGCTCGCCCTCTTAGAGCCTCGCGAGCGAGTTATGAAATATACAAACAACGCGGCGCTCTTCAAATAATCCGGGCCCGAAGGCCCTTTACGATTCCTCGGCCCGTTACGCGGCGAACGAGGGCCCTCGACGTGCACTGCCCGTCGTCCACCGGCCCCAGCGCGAACGCGAGGAAACACGTCGTCGTCGTCGTGGCGCTGTCGAGAGGGTCCCCTCGAAATTGTTCGTCCCGGCGCGGCGTAATCGCGCGGCTCCACGCGGGCCCGGTGACACGTCACGCGGGTGGGACAAGTATGCCTCCGAGCTGCTTCCTCTCGGCCCTACTCGAGGACGCGCGGCTTTTTAATTAGTCGAAGATATATTGTGGCAGCGTGCTTCGAGTATGCCCGCTCGAGGGCCTCTTCAGGCCCAGCAATAATCGAGGGACGACCGGTGCTACCGTGAAACGAGCGTTGGAGACCGTTTCTCGATTGTCCTGTCAGTGCTCTTTGGGCGAGTTTGATCGTGTTAGGGTTTATTTATGGGGTGGGTCGAGGGGAATCGGATCTTCTCTGCGGTAGTAATGGAATAGAAGTGCTGAAGCGATGAATCAGGAGCGGGAAAGAATTTTGTAATGTTTCTCGAGCAGCGGGATAATCATCTAACGTTACCCAATGGCCGGACTATCTCTTTCCGAATGAAACCCGGAAAAACGGGGGGCGGTAATTCACTTATCAGCCTACCACCCCCGTGGTTTCGTGATCAAACCGCACAAGTGATCCGCCCCGTGTCGCAGCGCGATGCCCGCCGAGCCAGATCAGACGCTCGCAAGGGTGGATTTGAAACTCGACGCGCGTTTCCGCGCCGCGGATTCCCCTCGGATCGGTGGAGCAGCGCGGGCAGCCTCAATCTTTGCTTTACGACACCGCGATTTGTAAATCCACCGGAGTCGAACGAGAATTTCGTGGCCGCGGCGCGATAGAAGAGGAGAGCTAGAGGAACAGAGCCGCGGTCGGCGTTGCCAAGCGACTGGAACCAAACTGGAATTCTGCGTAACGACTCCGCGGATAGAGGAGCAACAGACCGGAAATCCTTTGGATATTCGATGGCTCTCTCGCCGGAGGAGTCGACAAAGGAATCGGGAGATCCGCGATTGCCGCCGCGATACAATGCTGTCCGTAAAAACGTCTTTTCCAGCGAGGGCCCCGAACCGGGAGTATTTTTACGGAACACTGCAACGGGGATCCAGTCGACTGAGTTTCCATGATTTCGAGAATGGAGATGCACTGCTCGAGCTGCAATCTCGCATCTTGTAGGAATTGTACTTGTTTCGTTGTTTGTACTTTGTACATTGGAGAGAATTGAGCTCATTGGAAAATCCATTAACTGCACTTTTCGAATTTTTAAATATTTTATCATTAAAGCGTTTCATTGACTCTTAGCTTTATGTATTTGAAATATGTTTCGTTAGAGCTGGGTTTGGTATTAGGGAATAATAGAAAGACTTTTGGATATGGAAAAATTGCAAGAATAGTAAAAATGACTTCAAGGGTATACTACTTTATGCATTTTACATGTTCGATAGATTTGAACTATACCTGTAATAATAAGCTACTATTATGCTCCGTATAACGTATGAACATGTTAAATATTAAAATGAAGCACCTTTGTTTCCTAATTTACGTACGTTCAGTTTCAAAGAGTGTCGTTTATATAACGGGAAAGATTGAATATTTCCAATGAAAAGCTTTCGAATGCAAAGGGTTGAAGTAAACGCGAAATGCATTGAAATTTGTATCGTTAAAAGGTTACTTCTAGTTAGACAACTAATTTTAGTCAACAAAGTTCTTTCCTTACGCTTGGACCAAAAAAGGAATGTTAAAACTTTTTCAAGACTTCCAAGATATCTTCTTAAGAGGTTAACGGAGTCAAGGATTGTAATCATTAACGAGGACCGCGTCCAAGGTTTAACGGGAAAAGGGGGACGACGCTAGAATTCTCCGGGCCATTTTGTCGTCTAACTGGCCTCACGAGGACCTCGTTGAAATTAATTACGAGACCGTCGTTGCCGTCGTTTCGACGGTTGCGCAATGCTCGGTGCGAATCTCTTTCCGCGAGGAGTCGCCGCGTTTCACGCGTGTATTTCGAAACGCGTCCTCGCTGGCTGAGAAAATATCATTAACGCCGTTTACGATGATCCCGGCGAGCGCGGCGAGAAAGGAACGACCGCGTGTTTGTTCAAAACGTAATGGTGGATAAATATTTCCTCGGGCCGCCGTTGAATCCTCGGCAGTTCGGGGAACCTGTCCGGGACCGGTGATTCATCCGGGAATCATTCGTACAAATTCCACCCTTTCTTTCTCCCCTCGCGGCGACAGAGCCTTCGGAGACGATTCCACGAAGAGATAATTAATTTCGCCGGCTACACGCCTCGTTCGCGTATCAATTAACATTCCCGTGTAATAAGAATCCGCTGGAGGACCGGGAGTTTCTCGTCCGGTTTCCGTTGATTCGACGAATTAATTGATTCATAGCGTGCCGTCGACGGAAATGCTCTCCTCGGATGCGAGGCGTCGACGGGAAGATTTATTTTATGACGAATTCGCCGCTGAATGTTTTTGCGTGAACCATGAAATCTGAGAGTTAACCTGAGAAGCGTTATGCCGCGTTTATACCGGTAGGATTAATTGCTCATTAGGAACCTGTTCTGACGAACTGCCGGTTGCGAGCGAATGTTCACATAAACGGTGTAAAAGCAGTTTCAAATAGTTTGAAAGGTTTTGTAAAATGGAGGATATCGAAATGAAAGGTATTAAGATTATTTAAAAGATGTTGAAAACAGCTGAACAGACTTTGAAATAAAATCTGTTAACACTATTTCTATCGAAGGTGTCAAAGAACTTATGAAATTTCAAACTATTTTCTCAGTTTAGTCGTTCTTCCTCAATTGAATTTTCGACGTTACCTACGGTGAACGTTATAATCTTTCTTGAAACAGTCGAATATTCAATGAAAAACACGACTAAACTAGGAAAATAATTTCCAATTAAAATTTCAGATAGAAATAGTGTTGAGATAGTTTGAAAGAGGATAGATTATCCTATCTTTCATTGTTTCAGTGATTTTTGTATAAATATTATCCAGTGAACGTTCGTCAATGGATCATTCATCGAAAAATGAGCGAATCCTTGTTCGAACTTGGAGCATTCGTTCGATCGGTGTAAACGCAGCCTTATAGAGGGGTTGTTCGTCTACTCACCGTCCATCGAAACGTGAAATGAAGTTGCAGGGTGACGGGTTCGGTGAGGGTGAAGGTGTTCTGGCCGAGAGCGTGACTAGATACGTTGCCGAAACTACACGAGCCGATGGCAGTGACGTTCGATTGATACTCTTTCAAGCACAGCCAGAAGGCCGTGGAACACGGTGTCGTGCAGGGTGGTAATCCTCCTTTTCCTCCGCCATCGCCTCCCCCGCCGCAACACCTGCCGTCCACCAGGGTGCCCCTGTTGTTCGTCAGCGAGAGGATCTGCACCTCGAAGAATCCGCTCGCGTTCGTCGCCTGCGCATCAATAATTCAAAATATCATTAGTACTCCATAGTATTCAGTATATTTGTTTATCTGGTATGTCTTATTTAATAGCATTTGATAATTAGTATTTAACATTAGCTTATTAATCAGTAGTTAAGTATGTAATACGTATAACATTAATAACTATTTTAAACTACAGAAATTCGTTTAGCAATGCGCAAACTGAATTACATATCAATTGAAGTTTCAATAGACACTCTTGAAGATTCTATAGACAAATCTCGAAACGTCAGTTTGACTGCTTCGTAGTTCTAGTGTTAAACCTCTCAGAGTCTTCCAATTGGCCGATTGTGGGTCTTAATTCACCTTACGGTTGCCTCAGTAATTCACATTTTATACGCACAGAATCATTGCAACAGATCGCGTTCAATACCGCAGCCGCTTCGATCACATTCCGTTCTCAACTTCAGTTTTCAAATGGCATTTCTCCTATCCCCAGAGAAAAGCAAAGCGTCTCCATTCATTCGTCGAGCGATCTTCTCACGATGCTAACATGGCGCGCGAGTAAATAGAAATTTTTATAGTTTCCTTTCCTCGGGGAGAATCGATCTCCGATTACGTTTGCCGATCGATTCGATCCGAGTCGTTCGCGCGGGCTGTTAAATTGTATCGAATTCTGTTTACACAGATCCCCGGCGCGGTGTCAGCCGGGCGTACGAGACGGAATGGAATCGAAATGGAATTTATCGGGTTCGTTACAGGCCCGTGGTTCGTTAAACAGCACGATCCCGGCCGGCTCTTTCTAATGGGCATAATAAAACAGCGGGATTTTCCAGCCGGCCTCGTGAAAACGCAGGAACTGGACGGGACCCGTGGAACGGGAGGCGAAAGGCCCTCTCTCGAGTGTGTCCGTTACGGGCCCGCAGCCGGCGGCACCGTCTAGCCGCGATTCGGTGAAAGAAATCGAGCGGTTTCGTCACGGAATTGCCAATTTCCCGAAGAGCCCGTTGATCACTGTATTATACGCACGATGATTGAAATTTACCGCCTCGCGTGTGCATGCGCGTTCAGATTGCCTCACCTTTCGACGTCGAACCGCGGAGAGGCCGTGCATGCACTTCCCTGACCGAATCGGTGAGAAAACTCGCGGCTGAGGATTAGTCGGGGACTGATTTCAGATTGTCAAATGGCTGGGAATTAGAGATTGGCTCGGTATCAGTGTTTCTCGTGGGATTTCGGGAATTTGTTGGCGAGGTTGCGCGGAAAGACTTGAGAGTAATGTTGAAATGAGTGCTCGGTGATGTTGGTATTGAATGAGGTGATATATGAATGTATCGGTTATTGTTTGAACTAGAATTGAAGGCAATTGAGTGCCTCTGCTACTGAGAATGTATTAATTTAGTAAGTTATTAATTTACTGAGTTACTGGTTGATCAAGCTACTACTTTAATAATGCACTAATTTGATAAGCTATTAATTTACTGATCTATTGATTTACTGATTTACTGATTTATTGACTTACTGATTTAATGACTTACTGATTTAATGACTTACTGATTTAATAATTTACTAATTTACTAATATACTCATTTACTCGTTCTCTCATTTACTCACTCATTGACTCACTCACTCATTTACTTACTCACTCATTTACTCACTCACTCATTTACTCACTCACTCATTTACTTACTCACTCATTTACTCACTCACTCATTTACTTACTCACTCATTTATTCACTCACTCATTTACTCACTCACTCATTTACTCACTCACTCATTTACTCATTTACTCATTTACTCATATACTCATTTACTCATTTACTCATTTACTCATTTACTCATTTACTCATTTACTCATTTACTCATTTACTCATTTACTCATTTACTAATTTACTCATTTACTCATTTACTCATTTACTCATTTACTAAGAATCGCAGTAATGTGTCACATTCTGCACAAGTCCCTCAGAACAAGTTTTACCTCAATCAAAGCAAACTCGAAAAATGTAGAGTACTTAGGATTTGTTCTGTAAAAGAAACAAATATCTCCCCACGCAGAAAAAATCAGCTCACTTTTGGCAATTTTTCGCTGGTAACACTATGAACCGCATCACGGCGAACGATACACCGCTAGCCCCTGACTGATCGCTCGATCGCGCGCGGGGTTTCGACATCGGCGCAAAAATTTTATTGGTTTCATTCTTTTCCGCTCGGACAAAGAACTTTATGGTTGTACGTAAATCATCCGAGCAAATGCCCCGTGCGAACTTTAACATTTCCTTCTTCAGGCCGCGAATAATTTATCGCCGTGGCCACGGAAGCTTTAACTCCCGGCGGATTAAATTAAATAAACGTCTACTTCAGTAATAATTGAATTAAGCCGTTTATGTAATCGTAATTCTCTCGCGTGGTTTCGTGGGGACGAACATTGCAGGTTCGTCCTGAATCGGAATCGAGAACAGGCGGAAGCCTGAAAAACTGCGGTATTCGATTTAATCGCAAACTTTACAAAATCATAACCCCGCAACAGTGAAATAATTTTGTTTCATATTCAAATTATAGCTACTGGTAGAACCATGCTATTCAATCATTCTAAAATTAACAAAGACCGACTGATAGAATTCTCGATTCGATTAATTCGATCATGTCAGAAAGGAAACATTTATTCTACACTTTATCGTTTAACACTAGCGCCACCGTATACATCAAAATGGCGGGCCCCATTTTTTTCATTTCGTAAAGATTACCTTAACAGCGTTAAATGTCTGCGATGATTTTAAAATGAATACTATATGAGTATATGAAAAAACAGAAACGTATACATTGTTAGAATGTTTATAACGGTTATATATTAATCATATTAAACTGTCGCTAGTTCTACCGTTAATACAGTGTCCACTGAAATTTATTAATAATTCATTGCCAAGATGCTACCAGTTCTGGCCTCGTGCTACTATATAAAAATAGGAATGAAACGGGAGAACAAGCTGCTCAATATTTTCTGGACAACCTCAATAGAACTGCCGACAGTGTTCATTGAATTCAGGTCAAAAAATTTCTCCCCGACCGTTGAAGGCTTTTCGCCGGAGGAAATATATTGCCCGTCTACCGTGCAGTACCCGCGGATTTATTTCACCCGGCGAACCGTCCGATTAATAATAAAAGCGAGAACGCCGCTCGAAATCGTCTGCTTTCGACGCTGGATCGAGAGTCTTCCTTTCATCGTCCGTTACGAAACCCCACGGGCTACGTACACTTCACCTACACCTATCGGATTCGAATGCATCGGCCGACGCGACCGCCGTTGCATCGGAGGGGGAACACGTGTTACCGATGGGCGCCCGATACTCTATCTTTCTCTCGAATGTTTCCAAGCGGTTCGAACATTTTCGAATTTCGAGCCGCTTCGACGGAACCTCGAGGCAGAAAACCCTTGAGAATCTTGAAACTGTTGAAAGTGTTGAAGTCCAGAAAGTCCTGGAAGTCTTGGAAGTTGCGAGTCTTAAGACTCTTGAGAGTTTTGAAAGTTTTGAGAGATTTGAGAGTATTCAAAGTTTTGAAATTTTTGAAAGTTTTAAAAGTCCTGAAAGTTTCGAAAGTTTCCCGAGTCTCGCAAACTGCAAAACTCTTCAACCCCAGAGAACCTCGAAAACTCCTTAGGTCTTCGAAAGCTTGGAATTCACAGAAGTCTCAAAGGTCGCCGAAATTTCGCAAATTTCAAAAATTCAGCGAACTTCGAAGCCTCGAAGCAAGTCTTTCAGACCAGGAGAACCTACGAACTCTTGAAACTTCCAAGAACCTTACAAATTTAAGCACCAGAAATCTCGAAAGTCCTGTAACTCCGAGAAACCTCGGACAAATTGAATCACGTTCACCGTATAGACGTTACCTGCTAGTTACGCATGGCCTGCATCGTTTACAGTCCGCGGTCTTATATAATGCTCGTCCAAAAAGTTTGCTCACCAATCGAAACGATCCCACTCCATCGAACTATCCAAGAAACATTCAATATTTCCAAACCATCCTCAGCTCGAAAGAAAATCCTCTAAACTCTAAACCTCTTGATCCCCGACTTTCGCTGAAGAGTAAGTGCTGCGTACATTCGAGGAACGATGGCCAGGCCATCACCAGCACGTGGATAGTCCGTGCGTGTGGGTGAATCCGTGCGATCGCGGCACGGTCCGCGCTGCCCCGCACCCGGGGCCCACCGTAATTACCGTAAGAGTAAGATCGAAGGTAGAAAGCGCGGAGGATCGTCTGCTGGCCTTTGCTTTCCACGACGCGCTTCCTGCTACGTTATATAATCCCGACATCCCGTGCCGCGAGTGACATTTTCGCCGGTGAACCGAGAGAGTTGCTCGGAGCTTCTGCGGGTTTTGCTCATGGTGGACGGGACTCTAAGACTACCGGTCCGCTCAAAATCGCTTCCTCGTCTGCCGATTTCGACGACGAAAAATAGAGATTGCATCGAGATTAACCCCTTGGCCTGTGATATATTCCTCAACTCTGGTCGATACGTCTGCTTTGTCATTAACCGTTTGGATGCTAAACAACTTTTGTGGATATTTACCAAAAAAAGCGATTGGGTGTGTCTGGAAAAAAATTAATAAGAGTACTTATCTAATGAGATCAGAAATATTGTGTTATTACAGAAAAATAACATTTATTCGAATAAATTTACTTCGATTTATTTCTTGAAGAATATAGTAGGAAAATTATAATTGATACTGATAAACAGAAGCATTTCCACGCTCTCTGCAATTTTGGCACAATATAAGAAGAGCGCTATAGCGCTCCTCAGCACTCAAACGGTTAATAATTTATTGGAAAAAGAGAAAAATTCTAAGCACATGTTATGCCTATATTTCCTTTTAAGTATAACAGTTGATTACAGAGGAATAATATTTACTTTGAATTAAGTGAACTGAGGAATACATATATTTGTTGAATCATATTGAAAATCTTCACCATGAGTCAAACTCGTTGTAGGACAAGGGGTTAACCCCAGTCGGTCTATCATGTGACTTTGA